GGCCATAAATCTAAAGAAAAACATTTTTTAAACATAGACGGCCATCCTAAACTGCCAGATTGGGAAACATCCCAACCTGGCAACAATGCACGTAAGACGGGAAACGTTAGCCTGTAGATGCAAAACCCCATCATGCACCACAACATATTTTTTTGCTAAATATTCAAACACAAATTCGTCAAATATAAGAAGAACATCGCAGTTTGGTTTAGAGAAAGCATTTTAGTTTTATTATAATTTAGTTTGTTGCAAGGATTTTGAAGTTTGAAGTAATAGAAAATTACACTATATGCCAACCGTCACAAGGATGTGCATGACAAGGAAGGGCTACATATATTGCGTGCATCATTTAGGTAGTTAACATTGTATTACTTCTTGAAATTAGGACCGGCCCACAGATTACCCACAGATTACCACTGCTAGCCTCAGTAAAACTGTTTTTCAGTGAGCAAACTGCTCCCTTCAAATAACTCATTAGTTAGAAATTAATCAGCGATGTATAGTGCATCTCATGCCGCTGCTACAGTCAACTATAACCCAGTTACCTGACTCTCATTGACTTTTATTCATGGCTGCCGATGCAATCAGGAAAAAAACACGGTGCTTTTAAAGGATTTAAGAGGCAGAGTACATGCCAATATGCTGCTAATTAAAGCATCTAAATAATTGATCAGCAGCGGTGTGACCACAATTTGCTTTACTGGAGCATCCAGGTGTGTCTGTGTTAACATGACACCAAGTCAGTGAGTCATCAGCAGTGACCTTAGACGAGAAACCTCTGCAGCCCTTTAATTAGGAAAGTCCTATGAACCCATTTACAATTTACAGCCTTTTTGTTTTCTTTTATTTAAGTCCATAATTGCACGGTAAAACATTCTTCCTCTTTCTTTCCAATGTTCTGAAATTTTTTATCTAACAGTTTAAAATTTCATCAAGCATTCCTTTATAAATGAGATTAGTTAAAGGTATAGTGGAGGATTTTTGTGAGGATTTGGAAAAACCTGCCCTCTCCACCCTGTACCTGCTCCCGAGAGGGAACGCCAATTAAACACGTTAGAGAGCGTTCACAAACCCATTTTTCCTCGTGCCCGCTCTGTTTAAAAGTTGCTGTTCCCTTTAAGGGATTCTTCTCCATTTATCAAAGTTGTTTCAAAGTTAAAATGTTTTAGGGTTGAGCTCAGACCAAATGTTGGGTATGGTGGTGGAAGGGTGATCATGTGGGCTTGCTTTGCAGCCATATGACCTAAGTATCTAACAGAGTGGACTATGAACTATTCTGTGGGACACAGTATTATTCCTCTGTGAGATTTGGATGTTTCTGCCAGTCATTGTCCCTATTTAACTACACTTTCCTCCCTTGTCAGTATTGGTAAGCAACAGGTTATCAACTGGACAACGATCCCTAAAACCACTGAAATTATGACGGAATGGCTATAAAACCAGTAGATTAAGGTGTTAGAAATGGACCAAAATATCTCGGATTTAGACGTTGATGGAGTCCATCCAAATCTCTTTTTTTAGTGTTTAAATGAGGAAGTTATGTCCCTTTAAAAAAGCCGTTGCGCCTCGGGGGCTTCCTCACAGTTCTTTTCCGGGGAGCAAGTTATTTACTACTCTTAACTCAAACTGGGTAAAACCATATAAAAAGGACTATAAAACAGGAGTAAAAAATAACAGAGTTTAATCCAAATCAGGTCGTTACAGGACAGAGAAAATGCTTGGAGCTTGCACAGCTGATGGCTCAAAAATCACGTCCGCGAGCGTCCGGCAAAGATTGAGCCCCGAAAAAGGTCATCTACTGCTTCTTATAGCTCATGAGTCTATGTGTTGCATCATGTTGATGTTTAGCTGTCCGTATCAGAAACTGACACGCCATCCATGTCTTGAACTTCATGCAGCTTGCTTCTATGCTTCAGGATTACAGATAGCGCTCCTCTATCAGACCGGCTCCAAGATGTTCCCATATCCTGTGTATTTTTAAAGACATGAAGTTTGTCCTGATTAGATGACCTCCGTACACACAGTGACATCCACAATGTGAAGGAAGGCCTTCTACTCTGTCTAATCTGGCTAACAGAATAACAATGCACATGATGTATAAATAATAAACCTAACACTAGACATGGATGAATAAAAAAAAATTATTATATTATTGTGTTTTCTGCTGCATTTCCGTTGGATCGCAGGCTGGAAATAAATATTCCCACCACTGCAGAAGAGTAAAACAGTTCTCTGCTTGATTTCAGGTCCGGTCGGAGGTTAAAAAAAGGTTTACTGATTGCTGTTGCTGTCTGCATTCTGGTACCTGTCGTTTATAAAGTAATCCCTGATTTTATTCAGGCGGTTATTTACACCTACAGACGTAAGTCAGGATCCTTTCTGCATAACAGAGGGGTTTTAAAGCTTCCGGCTCTAACAAAAGAATCGTCCTTCCCCTTGGTGTGCAGTTCATGTGCCTTTCTTTGTGGACCTCGGCCGACCTGCTGATCTCTCCCTCAATCACACCATCAACATGTACTTAACATCAGAGGAAGGGATTTCCCTGGGTGTGTGGTGAGTATAAGACGGGTCTTTGTTGTTTTTTTTCTGTCATAGGTTTAAAGCATGTAGAGCTAGAAAAATGTGAAAAAAAGGTGATGTTTTATCTTCAGGCATACTGTTCCTGAGAGTCGGTGGAAAGAAGCTCAAGGGAAGGACCTGATTTGGTACCAGAACACTCTGAATGATGGGAATCCGGTCTTCTTATATATGCACGGTAACACAGGCACGAGGTAGGAGGATTTATACGTTCACACCTGATCCACAAGGTTTCAGGACTAGGGCTGCAACTATCAATTGTTTTGCAAACTGATTAATCTGTCGGTTATTTTTTAGTTTAATAATCGGATAGCCAAAGATTCTTTAAAGGAGAATTTTGCAACTTGCAATTGAGGAGTTCTGGATATAACATATTGGCAGAAAGAAAATGTTTTTTTAATATTTTAAATGCAAAATGTTTATATACGGTATTTCTTACAATGTTAGTGTAATAATGTGGAAGAGTGAAGATGACGACACAAAGCAGGCAGGTTTAAACAGTTCTTTACTCTACTCCAACTGAGAGCAACTTTACAGAAAATCCATATATATACACATCCGAACAAACATAACTGCAACATCTCCACTGAGTGAGAGTGGAGCCCCTTAGTGGTCCGCCACAACAGTGATTTTACTGTTCTGATGCTTTCCAAGTTTA